CGGGGAGTCTCAGATCGTCTTTCTGAGTCGAGTTGGTCGTCTTGGGATTTTTGGAGGAGTTGGTGGAAGGATTCGATTCCGAAGCCTTCGCGGACGAGGCCGGTTACGTCGACTTGGGCACCGATGAAGTAGCGGACTATGCCTTTGTCGTCGTAGAAAGGGGCACACATTAGGAGGTTCACGAAAGCAGTTCCGTCTCGCTGACTAGATTTGGTCAATCTCATGCGAAGAATGGTGTTGTCTTGAGCTCACTAGGTCAACAGTATCTCGTTTGACTCCTGACCTAGGGAGATTGCCTTTGCGATTCTCAAGGTGGTATCTTTGTCTGTTTCGGGTCCTGGAGAAATCTGCAGTTGCGGTCGATTGCATAGGTAGTTCCATACTGTGTAGTTCGGTGGAATTCTATTTAGTCCAGTGTCAGTATTGCACGGTTTAGGGAGGAGACCTTACCTTCTGAGGCAAAAATACCTGGGTTGTCATGTACTGAAAGATCCGTCAAACAGAAGACTTCCGCAAGATTCCCCACCAGATCCTTTACAATTGGGATGCTATAGCCGGTAAGGTCTTTCCCAACACAATCTCCGACAACCGCTATTAAAGTGTATGTGACAAAGGCAGGAAGAGCCTCCGTACAGAGCAGCAACAGCTCTCTCGCTGCATAGTCTTGAAATCGCACATCTACTGAAGCTGCCTGAACGCGAGAAAACTTGCAGAAGTCCGTATGTGATGACCAGCGAATCATCCTAACGATAGCATTCACATATTCTATCGCCTTCATCGCCTTCCTCATCTCCAAGAAGCGAATCAAGGCCAGTACCAGGTGCGTCCTGTACCTGTTGAGGAAACTCGAGAATCGGTGGAATAGAATATGATCTCCGAGGATGAAGTGAAGGTGTTCGGCGGTTATGAGTTGTCTCCTTACATCTTCAATCTTCACATAATCCGGGTTGGGAGCTGGAGGTCGGAGGTCAAAGAATTCGGGCTCATGTTGACCTGGAGTATCGCGATCCGGTGGCCTTGTTGCTTCAACGGAAGTCCGGTCACTGTCGCCGTCCATGTTCATAGAGAAAAGAGTGTCTCGAAGGTCATCCAGGCCTGGAACGGAAACAAGGGAGAGTCGAGGAGTAGATAGGGCAGGGCTGCTTTGAACAGTGGAAGACTCCATTTAAGTGATGTGACAAGACTTGCATGTTGAACCCTTGCCCGATGCCCTTTTCCAACGACTCCACAGGAAGGATGGGTTTAAACAAAATAAAATGCCCGTGATTGCATAGATAAAAACAGGCTTGCCGCACGCAATTAAGCCTTGCAGGGTCCAGATCCTAGATCTTGACCAAATTTCATTTCCCTGGCAGGACGCAGCGTCATTGTTGGAAGGACGAACCAACGGTAGACACCGACGCCATCTAGCTTTCTTCTGCTCGATCAATCAAAAGGGAGTTTTGCTGTAAGCAAAGCCATACTAACAGGTCTGTGCCAAGGCTGGGAGAAATAAGGAGGATTGAGGATTATCGCGCGGCTCGGTGCACATGACGATAGAGTTCAACGCTCATCTCAAACATAAACGGGCTCTGGCCGTGCTGGATCCGCTAAGTGGGATCACCCCTGTCGACATTTGCTTGGGACGGTCCCTGGAATCCCGAAGCTCTGAGCGTTGGGATTTCAAAAATATTCCGAACTTCCGATGCGGGGTGCCTTGCATAACAGCGATCTGAAAATCTTCTGCATATCCGACGAAAAGAAAGAGAGAAAGATGTGCCATAACAAGGGATTTTTACAACCAGCCTTGATAACCTGGGGTACCTAAACCACCACATGTCAGGTCAGAGCGAAGTGATAGTGAGAGGACCGTGCGAGCATCCTTTTGAAAACTGGGAAGTTGATCCGTTTGGATTGTGGCAAGGACATGGATCGTGCGAGCTCAAGACAAGTGACAACGGCTGAACGGATCGAGAATGGTACTTGGAGCCTTATGTGCTGCGTGCTGTGGAGGCAACTGTATTGAATAAGGAGATGACACCGGCTGGAGATGTGGATTGCGGAGGAAGACAAGCGAATCCGCGACAGGTTCGAGAAGTTCGCAAAGATGGGCAAGATGGGCGAAGTGGGCGAAGTGGATTCGAGATATGTGATTAAGTATTTATAGACCCGCGGTCATGACCATCGCCATGAAAAGAGCTTTTCTTTGACTTCTAGGGCATGAATGTGAAAGTTGTTATTTGATGGCGGAAGACAATCGACAGTTCCCCGTCGTATCGTTCGTGTACGATAGGAGAATACTATAGCGTGAACAGATCGTTCAAATCGGAAGGCGGGTGGTGTGTCGAGCCGAGGAGTAGTGCACTAGCTCACGTGTCGCTCTAGATCAGAGAGCTTTCAAAATGATGATAATAATTGTGACCCTCGGAAAGACTTAGAGAACAGCGCTGGTGATACGTCGATCAGTTCCTCTGTAGGTTACTGGTTCTGTCAACATGCCTCGAGCCACCTAGAGTTTATGCATCGGGAGGTTGCTGGTCTTCCAGTCGATCCTCAGAGCTTCCTCCATGAGGGAGAAGCAATCTGAGCTCTCGGAGTCGTCGAGTAATTGGCCTCAGGAACCAAGCTGAAATCAAGCGGGATGCTTCCATAATATGGCCCGCCGCTTTCCTGTCTCAAACTAATTTTCCACCGTATCCGAGTAAGGCTGACTGACCTTCGAGGTCATTGCCTTGTGGTTGGGAATTGGTCCTGAAGAAAATAGGATGACCAGTCACTGGAGAGATGGCCTTAGATACGAACCGATGTAGATCTGAGTCAACGATCAGGATCATATCCTGGAACGGGATTTACGGAATGGAGAGAGATGACCAACCCATATCGACTTTTCGGTGACAT